AAAACCAAGGAAATCGGGGCGGCTTACCATGTTCAGAGTGAACAGGGCGTACAGCTTGATGAGGCCGTGGAGGTAGCCAAAGGCGATGGACAGCGGTAGGAACACAATATCGGCCGGGTTCTTTCGGAACAGGCCGACGAGCTTGACGACCTTGGTAAAGGCGAAGAAGACAAGCATGGCGCCGAACGCATAGCGGCGGCTCACCTCATCCCACTCGGCGGTACCCCACCACAGCGAGGCCAGAATGAGCGGGTCGAAGACGAAGGCTAGCGACGTGAAGGTGGCGATGTGAAGCGCGTAGGTCGACCAGGGCTGCTGTCTGTTCGTTTGGGTTGCGGGATTGGTCAGATGGGAATTCCAATACAAGGCCTTGTGCGCGGCTGGCCGAGGCAACGCATCGGGATTGGGCAGAAGGAGGGGTGGTGATCGAGTGCTGGTGCGTGTGGGTGGCGCCTATGTGCTCGGTTGCTGGGGTCGGAGGAGGTGGTGGAGCTGAATTTGGGGGGGTCTGGTGCAGTGCAATCGGGGTGGGTGGGGAGCCGTCCGTGGTTCCGACGAAAGAAAAGAACAGAAAAAAAAAAAAAGCTCACCTCCAAACATGGCGCTCCGTAACCAGACTGGTCCAGTTGCTCCGCCAGTTGCTTCTTGCCCACCGCGAGCACTGGTACAGAAACTTGAGGCCGTATTCCAGGGTCGTCTCAATTTCGCACTCGGGCTCGTACTGGATCCACGTCTTCCAACCGTGGCTAACCAGCCACCGCGTTACAAAATTGTCGTCGTCGGCGTTGAGGATGAAGTTGCGCCACCGCTCCGTCCGGAACGAGTTGAGAAAGGTCGCGTCCCGGAAGATCTCGGTCCGGTACGCCCCCGTGCGCCCAGACATGCACGACGTGCCGCCGTCCATGTTGTGCGTCGCCGAAATCTCAAAATTGCGCCGCTCGATGTAGCAGGACCCGAGCCAGTTGCTCGTCCACCGCATGATGGAGGCGCCGTCCTCCTCGCGCCGCACGCGCTGGCACGTGCCCACGCCCCCAATCTTGGGGTTCTCGAACGGGGCCAGAATCCCAGGGGCATAAGCGTCGACGGCCACGTCACGTCGTCGTCCGCCATGATGGTGATGGGCGTCGTGACGTGCGGCAGCGCCTCGCAAACCTGGAAGCGCTTGTTCGCTACAGACGTGGAGAAGATGCGGATCCGGGGAAAGTTCAGGGTCCACGAGAGCTTCAGCAGCGCGTCAAACTTGTTGGCCGTGGTGACAATAATGAGCTCGTACGGGTTGGTGGAGAGGATGCTCTCCAGCGAGGGCCGCAGCTCCTCAAAGTCATGGTGAATGGTGGGGATGACAACCGTGACGTCCTGCTCAGTGTACGTCGGTTTGTTGGGGATGGGGTATGACTTGTAAGTCCAGTGGCTGATACAGTGCACAATGAGCCGCACATATCTGTGCAGGCTGCGACGGACGAAAGCTGTGGTTAGATGGAGTCTACTTTAGGGACCTCTCAAGATTCCGCCGTTGCACAATCCTCGATGAGAGAGAGAGAGAGGGAAAAACAATAAGAATACTCACAATAACACGCAGAACAGGTACAGCCAGAACCTAGGAGACTCGGGGAGAGCCAGCCTTTCCGCGAGGTCGTCTTGCCAGCCGGACATGCCTGATCAAGTACGCCGGGCCGGGTGTGGCTCGGAAATCTTGGAAGGGGGGAAAGGGGTGGGGCGTCTGCCTTGTGGTGCTCGATCAAGGTATTAGGTGCTCGCTGCCTGGAAGGCTATGTGATTCCCGGAAGCGTGGTGGTGGTGAACGCGTGGTGAAGGTCACATATCACGTGGAGCGTGTCCAAGTGAGGGAGAGGCGGCTGGGTTGAGGGGAGAGTAACGAGCGACAAGGTGACCAAGAAACGGCCACGCGGCGGGGATGCTATTCCTCGAGTGTAGGAAAGGCACCAGAAGCAGCGGGAGGCGGCCGGTCTAGCGGGAGGGTTGGGGGAGGAGTGCCGCTGGAGAGGCAAAGGTGGCGGGCAGGTGGCGGACGAGGGCTCTCTGCCTAGCCTTCGGTCCAAGTGTTGAGTGTGATACACTAGGACAGGTATCGAAAGGTCAAAAGAAAACACAAGGCCAAAGCAAAATAAGAGAAATAAAACAAAAAAGGAGATGGGTCGTGAGAGAGGGGGGGAGAGGTTGAAACGGCTAGAACCGAGGGGGAGGGCGAGCACGATATATACACTTTGATATCGAGAATGGTGGCTCCCCATGCTAAGTACCTAGGCCAGGTCCTTGTATGGTTGTAGCCGGAGGAATCGGTCGACTTTGAGCGAACAACCCTGATACCCCGTGCTTCGGAGGAGACGGGCCAGGACCGAGGGGTACGTACTGTGTGTGGGAGACTCAAAGGGGTCTGCCGCGGAACTGTGCTTGTACCGTACCTGAAGCAACCGCAAGCACTGGGATTTTATGTACGTACACACATGGCTGCATGCTAGGGGAGTAGGAATAGGGTAGGTTGAGACGGATAAAAAAAATCCCTCTTTTTTCTTTTATGTTTCTTTTATTTTTCTTTTCTTTTACAATTCATTTTTTTTTTTCTCCTGTCGATTCATATCACCCGCATACATATCCTGCTTGCTCTAGGCAAGTCAAGCTAGCAAGGGGGGTAGGGTGCGATGTCCGCTTGGTCGCTAGGGAGGGGGTGGTGGTGGCCGGGGTGGGTGTGTGGCTCCTCGCCCTTGTACACACTGAGCAGGTCGCCTCGGATGGCGTCTCGGGTCATTTACAAGACTGTGGGCCACAGAGAAGAGAGGGTAAGGATGCGGGCGATAGTGAGATGGATCATGTTGAATCGGCAAGGGAAGGAGAGAAATCGAGCCGGACAGATGCAGCCGACTCATCTCTGGGAGCTCGAGTGAGGCCTATGAGGAGGCAGAGGGGTCAAGGGAACAGGCACATGCAGGCGCCTGGCGCTAGATTTTTTTCGTATTGGGCACAGCACGCCTCGTCCAGCTCACCTTTGGCGACCAACAGGCCAGTACGGGGCCGAGACACAAAAGGCCGAGCATGTGTGGCGCGCGGCCGGCGTTAAGAACAAGTGGGAGAGCCCCATGGTAGACGGACAGCAGCCAGTGGTGAGAGAGATGCCCTTGGGCGGGACCCTGTTCGCCGCCTCGCAGGTCCAGCCAAACAACATGGCATTTGCTCGGCTTGGCGAGACTTGACCGGATGCGGCAACAGAGCTTTGCAATGGCAGGCTCTCACAGGCGCGGGAGGAGGATGAAGAGAATGCTGGGGGAGAAGATGGGCGGGAAACAAAGCAATCAATCAATCCAATGCTACTGCGACTGTGGGGGGGAAAAAACAACAACAACTGCTAGCGAAGGGAATCAAAAGCAAAAAAGAAATAAAGAAATAAAAATTAGAGAAAATACAACAACGTGCAAGAGAATCGGTGGGGCAGGCAGCAACCAACTAGGACGGAGCCTGCTGCTTGCTGGCCCCGCGTTCGCCCTCTCTCCACCGAGGGCAGCCAGCCAGCCAGCCAGCCAGCCTGTCTTGTTTTCGCGAGTGGAGAGAGGGCATCTCGAACAAGCCGCTGTTGGCCTAGCCGATGCAGCGGCAGAGACTGGAGACGGGTGCTGGAGGGAGGAGAAAGCGGGCCCAGACATGGTCAAAGCTGTCGATTGATCTGAAGGGCACCCGTCGGTCCCCACCGAGCTAGCGCGCGGGTTATCCTAGCGGCGGCGGGGCCATAGTGGGCGAGAGGTGGACGGAGATTGAGTGAGCACATCATCTCCAGTCAGATCCGGGCTGGATGGGGCCGCCGGCGTAAGCCCCATGGGAGCCAGACATGGGAGCCAGAGGAGGAGGGCCAGCGGCTCCATACGGACGCCGCAGTGTCGCCATCCTGCCCCAGGGAGGACCCCCGTCAGGACGCTGGACCCCCTCCCCC